CACACATATAAATAAATCTGTGTGTGAGTGTTTTGCTATTTTCTACTCACGCACCACAGTCACACACAACACTCATGGTGCCCTAATGAGGAGTTAGAATATGCTTACAGCTACATTACTATGTCTTATAGCCCATTTAAAAATGAATTGTGGTATAAAGTAAAATGCTGCTAATCGACATATTTATAAATAATTCATATATTTATTACGTTGTTTCTTTGTTTTTTAAAGTGACATACTGTACACCGATCAGTGTACTGTTATAGGAGCCTACTATAATGCCTTATCGAACCCTTTGCGAAGGGCAGTTTTGTAATTTAATTTCTACATTTTCTGATTCACAAACTGAGCTCGAGGAAGTTTTTTTTTTCTAAAAGAAACATTAGAGCAGACTGAGAGTGAACAGGCTGTGGAGAAATCCTAAGATGCTGCCAAGGATGCAGAGCAACAAACACCAAGAAAACAGAGAGACAGATACAGATGAAGCAGACGGAGAGAAAACCGGACAAGACACTAGCAGACAAACAGAAGGAATAGGCAGGTGCCGTCACCACACTTGGAAACAGAAACAGGACCAACTAAATGCCAATCACAGTGTTTGGTTTGGAGAGAACATCCTGTAAAATTCCACAGACTTTCTGCTTCCAAATGTACACTTTATGATTTTCAGGATCCAATACATATCATACTATATATATGTATTTATATATATAATGCCATCTATTTACAGACCTTGAAGAGCAGTCTCCAGTGACAGTGCTCTCATCTTTAGATCTCAGCCTGTTTTCTTCCCTTGCCTTCAGTACTTGCACTTCATAAAAATCCGTATCTCACATAAATTCACAAAGTCTGACTGCTACATGCAATTCACCAATCGACTGCGACTGAGACAGGGATGAGACACTTTTCCGATCCTACTCCCCCCCACATCCCTGTGCTTCTTCAGAAATATCCCCTGCCCTCTCCCTCATCAACGACTCAAATCCCACAGATTAAATACATTATCCTATCGAGCATTTGAATCATTTTTGTTTCACAAGCTAATTTGCATATAAATAAGTTTTGCGTAGTGAGAGAGAGAGAGAGCTCGTCCCTTTTGTTTTCTCTTTTGGCTCACAGTGGCCTAGTCACTGTACCTGAGCAGCAACATGAAATCCAGTTTAAACCACAATTGTAAAACAACAACCAGTTGACAGCATGACTTTGGAGTATCTGTGCTTGATAACTTCCTTGTTTCGCTGTTGTGGTATAAATGATGGCAACATCATAGAGGAGGATAATGAAAATATAGTCCCTGCACCATCTGCAACATCAACATGCAATTTTTTTCCCAACTTGTAAAAAGGATTTCATTATTTATTCAAATATTAAATAATATATCTTTTTTTTTTTTAATTGTCAGAATAACTTACTTCAGTCAATTCAATTACACTTGGCCCAGTTTCTCAGCATATAGAGAGAAAACACTGGGATTTTTTTTTTTAACCACAGTCCAGTTTCAACTACATCCTTTATATTCGATGTGGCTTTTTTGTGGCAATAGAAGAAATACAGTTAATACTGCAAATGGGAAAAGTGCTTTAAGCTGCCCTAAAGCTTTGTGAGCCTTTGGAAAATTTGCATTAAAATGATGCCTCCTAACACAATTATCTTAGTGGGATTTTTTTTACATCATCGCTGTTACTGTGCCCAGCAGTCGCCGGGTGCCCTGGATGAAGGGTAATCTGATAATCTTGTTAGCACTTATTTACAGTTGAGTAGATAAAATATTTCACAGCAGGATGAGGGGAGAACTTGGAAGTGAGATGACTCAGATCCAGAGCAAGATTAAAACACTAATCTACTCATCTGATGTTTAAGTGCAACGATAACACCGCATGGAGAGCATGTGCTTGCGCGCAAGTCACTGTGTGTGTTTTGGAGTCGTGGAGGACGAATTCAGATCCTTTAAGCAGAAAAAAAAAACCTTAATTAAAGTCCCAAACTGATAAATATGAGTGCCTATTATACTAAAAAATAATGTACTTTAGGCTTTAGTTATTACATTTTTTAAAGTGACTAAAGATAAAACACTGCATAGTTAATATTTTACCTTTTCATAACTTTTAAGTAGATTTTCTTGCAAACGCATACCTTTTTGTTCACATATATTGACGCAAAACCTATTATAATATTTAGATTATGTGATATTGACTTTGTTCTGTAAGTGCATTTACATAAGGACAGTGTGTGAGTAAATAGACTATAAGAATGGGATGAGCCACAAACAGCAGCCAACTCATTAGCCTGCTTGAAGATGTGGTCAGCTCCTGAGGTAAGCGTAAACATTACCAAGAATTTAAAGTGCAAGATTATAAATGCAATGAGCCTTATGGGCAACAGCACAGCCCCATAAGGGGCCACAGTCAGGAGACATTACACACACCTGAATTCAATCAGCAATAAGACACATCAATGATGGGTAAATCATTAGAATACGAATAAAAAGCGTTACCATTAAAATAAGGGATAACTCTGAAAGACACTCGGAAGATATCACCTTGTCTCTCCGACAAGGTGTTGCCATGCGTACACGGTGTGAGCTCCCTTTAGGGGCAACAAAGTAGGAGAAGCAAAGACGATGGAAATTGCTTTGTGCCACCAAGTAATGAAGTTGTGAGAAATGACAATGACTTTGCAAGCTACCAAGGCCAATCAAGGGGAACACTTGTGGGACGGTGAGACTGTTGCCAAAAAATTGTCTCAATAGTTCTGTCATAATTATTGTGACAGGTTGTGTTGCTTCGCACTGATTGGACATGGATGTAAGACTGCATTGCTGCCCCAGTGTCCCCACTCAATTCCACAGCCATTAGTGTCAATGGCAATATGAGTGATTTGTTACTGTGCAAATAAGACTACCATCTGCTACGAAGAGAAACATGTGCTTGGTTGCATAAATCTCCGTGTAAAACTTAACCACTTATTTCTTCCTAACCAAAGGGTAACATTAAGGGATATTGCAATAAACATCTGATATTAATTCCATAAGTCACAGGAAATGCAAATTATAAGAAGACGATTAGCAATTTCACGCTGCAAGGAAAATCTGATCAAATTGTTTTTATGTTTGTCGAACTCATACTTTTATTTTAAACATACTGTGAGAAAAGCTACTTTAAAATAAACTAATATTTAAAAAAGTCACGCTTATGCACAAGCTACTCCTTGTAGAAACGATCCAATCTGAGAGATAACAAAAAAAAAGGTTTTTTGGGAGCATGGGAACCATTTTGGTGATGAACAAGCTTCATTGTAATGGCTTGCCAAATTGCCCTCTCCTGAAAAGTATTGCAGTTCATTTAACCATGAAGGTGATCTGACCCCAACCAAGTAGTATTACTTC